TTTTCAGGTCAGATCTGTGCCACTCTCACATGTAGTCTTAATTCAGACACAGATCTGGGGCCTCATGTACGAAGACTTGCGTGGAAATCTTACTAAAACTTTGCGTACGCACAAAGCTGTAAATGTGCGTACGCAGAAAAAAATTCAGATGTATGAAACACTGCATACGCCGAATCTCACGCATATTCTTTTGTACATCCGAATGAACGTGAAACTGAGCGCAACATGCACGAGCACAAAACCCCTCCCTGCCTCCTCCCCCGTATGAATATGCTAATGACTATGCTAATGGCAAAACCCAACGAAAAAGCAATGGCAAAATCAAGCAAAAAGAGAAACTTTGAACAGAATGTGAAATGGAGGTGCTGCTTTCAGAGGTAGACCGGAGAAAAGCGGTGTTATTTGCAAGTTTGTTCTCCGGAATTAACAACAAAAGAAAAAAAATAGAGTGGGAGAGTTTAGCTGATGCGGTTAACACAGTTGGGTCTGAACATTGCACTGAGTGCATTAAAAAAATATATAGTGTGGTTTATATCTGTAAAATGTTGCAGCACCCTTAGCAGTCTCAGTGGCGCACCTCAAATCGTAAGATGCATGTGATCATGAATTGACACGTTCGAGCATGAACTAGGCTCGAATCCAGCATCTGATGAACTCTTTCTTCTTTTTTTCCCCGCTACATATCAGATTTTGCCCACTATTTATCACGAGAAAGACAAGTAGGAATCATCAGTAAGTTTGTGCATCATATTTTATTTGCACATTAATTGAATGGAAATGTTTCTGATTCACGCATGCAAATTCATCTTCAGATAGTGTCTTTATAGCAATGTGCGTGCGGTAGATCGCTCAGATTACATTGGGAAAACAGGCGACTTCTGCAAATTGTGCTTTAATGTTTAGCTGGTCAACTGTATGGTATGGAAACCTTACATACCTGCTAGATGAACCTGTCTCATACAGCTGCCATTGCAAGGCTCAGACACTTTGTAGAGAGGAATTTTACACAACTGCCTCTAGGAGTCGCCAATGGAAGTAAAACAGACACGCACAAAAAATGTGCGTACGCCAGCCAGAAAGCTGCCGTGAAGCTGCGCACATTCCTACGTTCAGTTCATTGTTAGTAAATCCAAACGTGAGCGATTCTGAGCGTGAAACCAGGCGTTCGCAAAGTTTTTGTGCGTACGCAGCGTTGATACATGAGGCCCCTGATGTTTTGCAATGCGACTGCAGTGTGAACGGTTATGTTGGATTTCATTTGACTTTTGCATAATATTTGAGCAACATGCGTCATCATTCTGTGCTGCAAACATCATCTACCCCTCAGCAGCACAATAGAATGGCACACAGGGCGATTACTGCACCACGGAAAGTTGGTTGTTCATGTTAAAAAAGATTTTGAATGCATAACTGGTGCTTGTTAACCATTCTGGTTAATGATTAAGGCACGGGTTAATCGCAAAGCCAAAAAGCATCATGGGTGTTGCGGATAGAGGACCCTTGAGCAAAGGAGGAAGAACTTTCTCTCCGAGAGAAAAAAGGGCAGGTGCTCGAGCATCCAAACCCACCTTCTGCACATGTCTGTTGTTTATAACAAAGTAAAATGAAATAACTCTGCAAACAGACATAAACCAACTCTGCCTTCACAGCTCAGTCTGCGGCTGCTCAGATCAGAGCGCCACGCACCCCAGTTGTCATAAATCACAAAAGATCAGTGTTTTTTTTTTATCACAGGAGACTTGTTTTAGGTCTCAAATGCTGAAATATGCCTTAGTAGAAGCAGAACAATCATTTACAGTTCATGAAATACACCACGGTTGTCTGTTGAAAAGGGTAACAATAATAGAAGCATGATCTGACAACGTGCTTATTTATGCAGCACACACATGTGCATAATTACACATTTTGTGCACTCCGTAATGCATTTTTGCACATGTGGGTCGGTTTAGGACCATGATGTGTTCACACCGCAAATCTGATATAAGCCACATTTATAAGAGCAGTGTGAACAGCCATGCAAAAAAATCAGATCTGAGAAAAAAATCAGATTTGAGCAATAAGCCTTGCAGTGTGAACATAACCAAAGTTTTGTACATAAAACAAATTACATTTTAAATTCTTAATAATTCCTTGATAATTGTTTGTTAAACTTCCATGAGAAGCTGTAACATATCCCAAACAATATGAAAAAAAAAAAAACTATTTTCTATGGCTTAACTTAAAAACACTAGAAATTATATCTGTTACAATAAAGTACACACAGTATAGTTTCTCATTGCCTCTCTTGCTATAGCTGATGAGTTTCAGAAACACAGTTATAGTAGCCAGAGAAAAATAGGTAGAAGAGTAAAGGATCAATAGCTCAACTAAAGCAGCCTCTGTCAAATGGAACATTTTCAATAAAAAATATAAACCTCTGTTAATTATCAAATATTCTTGCAGATATGCGGGAATTGAAGTCAATCTGTAATCAGTGAAGCTGGTAATGCTGTCATTTAATGGAGTTGTTTACTCCTCTGTCTTAATTCAGTTGGTTGTCTGTAGTTTTATTTCTTGTTCTTTCCTTTAGTGATTGTGCTTGTTAACAGCAGGTGTTCATCATTCAGTCATTTGTGGTTGTGGTTGAAAACAAAGGTTAGATCTAGTACATTTGTTTTCCGTGTTTTTTACAGAAATGAGCCTGTTAATCACTTAACAGGTTTTCACTGTAGATTGTACAGACTTTTACTGTTAAAATCATGAACATATTTTTACAGTGTGTATATGATATTTAACAGGGAGCTAATGCAATGATGAAAGAACTGGAGTAATATGGTTACATTCCTTTGTTCTAGAAAGCACTCAAGCAGTTGCATTTTGAACAATCTGAATTTTGTTAATTAGGCCAGCAGGGCAACCACCTTGTAACGCATTACAATAATCTAACCGAGAGGTCATGAACGCATGAATAAGCTTTTCTGCATCAGACATTGATAGCATATGTTGAAGTTTGGCAACATTTTTAAGATCAAAATCATTTTCTTAGTTCAGTCCTCATCTTCAGTCATAAATCCAAATTTTTGACTGAAGATGATGACTGAACTAAGAATCCATCAAGGGTTAGACAATAACCCCTTTCACACAGTGATACCGGTAAATATCTGGAAAATTTCCGGAACGACTTTACCGGTATATTTAAAAAAGTGCTGTTCACACAGGCGAAGACGTTACATAATTTTCCGGAAAAGAGCATTCACACATCCATTCCAAAATCCCGGTAAATTCTAACATCATTCACCACAAATGAGCTTTAAACGGCTGCGCTTGTATTTGTAAACATTTGACTAAATTACAAACTCTGTGGATGATCAATATTGTGAACAACTTTCGCAGGATCACTTTCGCATGTCGAGATGTTCATAATATGTGCGTGTGCAGGCGCTCACAGGCTGTTTCACAGGCACACGCAAAGCTTGAAGGTAAACAAACAACGGCTTATCATAAGCATCTCATCGATGATTATTTACACAGTTGGCATTAAGAAGAACATATAAACGTGATCTGACTAACTTCTAGCAGCTAAATGTGTCTGGAAAAATATTCAAAGGCTTTTATTCTCACAAACCGCGCGGATGTAAATGCGTCTGACTGTTGTGATTGGCTAAAGCAGACGTCTCTTGTCAGCACGTTCTAGATGTGCACGCGCTTATTACGGCAATCTTCCTTCTGCATTCACACAGCGCAGCATTTCGGCAAATTGCCGGTAATGTTACAACTTCTCTTTCCGGAAAATAGCCAGAACGAATTTACCGGTATTTTCAAAAAGGACCTTTTTACACATACAACCTTTGTTGTAGGTCTGTATGTGTGAAAGGGGCTAAAGTTCTAGTTTTTTTTTTCTAGTTTTTTTCATGTGAGGTTTTTGGGTCCAATAAGCATGTTTTATCGGTAGTATATATAGTGTGAAACGTAAGGGACTAAGAACTGAGCCTTGTGGTACCCCACAGTGTACTTTTGATCTGTATGATGCCACTTCATTAACTTGATACAAATTGATAACGTTCAGATAGATAAGACCTGAACTAAGAATGCAGTTCCTATAATACAAACATAATTTTCAAGCCTATTAAAGAGAATATTATGATCGATTGTATCAAATGCAGCACTGAGGTCCAATAACACTAAAAAGAAATGCAACCACGATCGGACAACAGAAGAAGGTCATTCGTAACTCTTAGGAGTGCTGTTTCTGTGCTATAAAATGCTCTAAATCCAGATTTAAATTTTTCACAAGTATTGTTTCTTTGTAGGAAGGAACATAGTTAAGCAGATATAACTTTTTTCCCAGTATCTTTGGTAGAAAAGGCAAGTTTTAAAGTGGGTTTATAATTTACTAGTTCTTTGAGATCAAGCTGTGGTTATGTAGGTTAAGTAGGTATGAATTCAAATCGTTAAGAAAAAGTTCAGAAAATTCTTAAAACAATTGTTTTAATAATTTAGTGCCAACAAAAACCGCAACTGTTAAATTTATCATCAATGAACTACACAGAATGTGGCATATGTCCATGGCCAGCTTTTTGTACACTCCCAAAATCTTTTTTTTTTTTTTTTTTTGTATTATTATTTAAATTACATTTAATTGAAGAGCAGCACAGTGACTCAGTGGTTAGCACAAAGTTCTTGGCATTTCTGTGTGGACTTTTGCATGTTCTACCTGTTTTCGCCTAAGTCTCATTGAGTACCCCAGTTTCCCCCATAGTCCAAAGTCATGCAGTATAAATAAAATAAATAAACTAAAATTGGCTGTTTTGTGTGTGTGTGTGTGTGTGTGTGTGTGTGTGTGTGTGTGTGTGTGTGTGTGTGTGTGTGTGAATGGTGTTTGCCCTTTTACTATTTATTTATTTATTTATTTATGTTTGTTTATTTAATTATTTATCTGTTTGTTGATTTGTTTATGTATTGATTGTCTCAGCAACTTGACCTATTTTTGTATGTCTTCTTTCTCACTTAATCTCTAGCAGCCGTTCCTGGAGGTCAAGATTCTTGAAACAACCAAGCGCTCACGGAGGAATCTGGGTCTTGACTGTGATGAGCACTCCACAGAATCTCGCTGTTGTCGCTATCCACTTACAGTGGACTTTGAAGCTTTTGGCTGGGACTGGATCATTGCACCTAAACGTTACAAGGCAAACTATTGCTCAGGGCAGTGTGAGTACATGTTTATGCAAAAGTACCCACATACCCATCTGGTGCAGCATGCAAATCCTAGAGGGTCTGCAGGGCCATGCTGCACCCCAACAAAGATGTCACCGATAAACATGCTTTACTTCAATGACAAACAGCAAATAATCCATGGCAAAATCCCAGGAATGGTGGTGGACCGTTGTGGCTGTTCATAGAGTTTTGCATTTTGGTAGAGATAAATAAGCTAAGTAATGGAGGGGGGAGAGTGTCAGGGCTTAATTCAAGAATGCAAGTCTCTACATTTTCCTTATATTGTTTCTTAAATTCCTTTGAATGAATTTGCTGTACAGAAAGAAAAAAAAATGTGTAGCTTTTTTTAATAATCACAGTAAAAAGTCTTTACATCAAAGACAAAAGCTAATTTCTCTTTATTATTTAAATTTATATTATATCTACCAACAATGTTTTTTATTGTGTTGGGTCACTCTCAAAAAAATGCATAAGTCCAAAATCCGAAATGACCAATATCCAAAATTAATATATTCCTAAAACTTTGTGCAGTATTTCACATTCAGAGAGAATAGAACAGTTACAATCTGTTAATTACAAAGAATGATATATGTAATGCAGGACAAAGCATGTATGATCTTTTTAGTATTGTATTATATTTTAGGAAAGTACAATATTCTTATTTCACACAGACACACACACACACACACACTCACACACACACACACACACACAAACACACACACACACACACACACACACACACACACACACACACAATTCTCTCATTTGTGTTAGACTTTGACATTAGTCCAAAGTGCTTAAGTCAACACCCTAAAACTTAATCTAGGTTATCAAAATAACCTTTAATTTTAGTTCAATGCAAATGTTCAATGCAATTGACAAAATCATGGTAGGAGACACATTGACCCCTCCCCTTCCAATAATGCTTCTACCACTATGACATCCGCATTAAAATAGCTTTTCTTTGAATTTTTTTTAATCAATATACCAATATATTTTTTCGTTTTTTTTTTTTTTTTACATTTTAATTTAATTTAATATATTGTTATATTTTCATTGTGCTGTGTAGCTCTGACCTAATATAGGCACACTTTCATGATCTTGTAAAAAGAAATAAGAAAAGAAAAATAAAAAGATGATTTTTTTCTTACTTTTAAGGAGAAAAGTAACATATTTAGACACAGAAGCTTAAGATGTAGCTCCTATTACTGTGAGTGTGTGTTTCAGAATGTACAATAACAAAAAAAGCATGCATACATGCATACATACATACATACATACATACATACATACATACATACATTACACACATCTTCCTGTAACTCTGCCTTGAAATTCTGGTATCAATAAAAAAGCATCAATGTAAGATAAAATAATACATGCTTGTGAATTTCGATTTTCTCCTCAGTCAATTACTTTGAGTTTATGTTGAGTTGACTGACAAGAGGATTCGCTTAGAAGGACCAATCACTCTGATTTGTTTAAAAACAGACCTATGGAATGCATATGAAATTGGTGAGTGCAGCTCTCACAGGGGTAGAAACTCCCCAAAAAGGAGTATAAAGGCTGCCTTGACAGGAAGCTCATTAGACTGCCGCTTCAGAACCAATACGTCCCTTGATGGGCTAGCAACTTCAAGTTCAGCTGCAAGCTGGATTCCAGTGCGAGAACAATGCATTCAGCGGCAGTCGAGCTGGGCTTCTCTCCTGTGTCTGGGCACTCACTGGAATTCCTCTGCAAACTCCTCTGGACGTTTGCCACAAAATGAGCTTTCCTTTCACTGGTGACTGATCTGATTGCTTAGTTACACATCTGGCTTCAGCATGCGACGCAGTGTTTGAGGAGATCATGCTCACACTGTGTGGGCATGACTGTGGTTGTGCTTAATTGCGGCTTGTGCTGTTTTAGTGCGAGCACCCTCTGTTTTTCCCTGCACTGCAGCGAACACTTAAGTCAGTATAACGCCCCATTCACACAGAGCGTCAGCATCAATGCTTTCTATTCAATTTGAATGGGTGAACCCAATCATTGCCAAACTGAATTGTGAGTATGTCGGTGCTGCTGCGGCATTGCTTGCTGCAGAAATTGGGTATTTCTCAACTTTTCAAGCACCATCGGGAGCGTCAGCCAATCAAATCACTTTATGCAAATACCACAGCTAAAACTGTAGCCGATTGCAGACTGATTTCATTGACTGATGCTGCTATGACGATTGCGTCAGCCCCACCTTTAGACACGGCCTCTGTCAAGTGCTGACGCTGAAGCCCAATGTAAATGCAAAGTGAGAGTATCAGTGGGATGAAGTCGCTGGGTAATCCCTGTGGCTCTCCTGTTCCTTATCAACACAAATCATCTAGGCTTTAGAAGAGTGTGCAGTACGTCCTTTGGGGTGGTTGCACGTTTGTTTAATGCATTCGGCAAACAGATGTCCATCATGGCATCAGAGGGTAAATTGTCATTAACCGAAGAAAGCATGGGAGGGGGGGGGGGTGCTCCATTTGAGGTGCTCGCAGCCCTAGCTTGATTTGGTTATAAGGGCTGTGCTCTTCAAGAAAAATGGGTGGAATCTGAATCTATGTCTAACTGACATGGTGGGGACTCCCCTGGCTCACTGTCCCATTCTTTTCAGAGGAACAGAAAGAGCTTCAGGTTTCAATGCCATTTTTCCAGGTTTGTTCCTGTTGCATGCCACAGATCGCTCCCCATCTGCTTCTATGGATCCAGACGTGGCCCTGGTTTACCACTGGCCCCAAGTCTACCCCAGTGAGCCCTTTCGCACAGACACTGTGCAAGATCAAGGAGGATGAGGAGCAGATTTTTGTATTTGTGCCTCTTCGGCCCGCCTGAACCTAGGTTCCAAACTCACACTCCTTATTAAAGCCCCTCCCTGACACTCCCACTGAGACTTTCCTCTTGGTGTTGTGGCACCATCTGCCATCCGCGTCTAGGTGTCTGGCCACCGCTTGCGGAGTCTAATCATTGTTTGGTGCATTTCTGTAGCATGAGGTCCCCTGAACTTGCCCAATGAGTGTCATGTCTTCTTTTCTTCAGGTTAAGCTGGAGGGCAGGCTGTTGCAGTGCTGTAAAGACATTCATTTGATCTGCTCTGGTCAGCTGACCATGCTGGCATTGTTCAAAAGGGTCAGGAATAAGAAAGTATTTTTGGTCAACGAATCATGCCTGCAATTTAGACTGGCTAATTCTCACATTATCCTAAGATCCTGGCTTGGCTTTATGTGCCCAAGGTTTTTACTACTCTTCTAAGGAACCAAGTAGGGAACCTGCAAGCCCTAGGTAGATTAATAATTTATATTCATATTCATCACAGATTTACCTTTGTTAAAAACAAAAGCACTATAATGTTGGTTTAAAGATGGGCCTTCTAAGTAATATATGTATATATCACATAACAAAATATTTAAAGAATGGTGATATGATGGGGCTGAAGGGTATAAAACATTAATTTGGGCACTCTACTAACCAACAAAAAATGCACTATGTGAAGAAATTGGCATGAGGAATAATGTTTTTATTTGTATTAGAATTTTCCAAACTCTAATACTGATTAAAAATGATTCTAAATGGGATCTCTCCGTAAACCCTACGGACTGTGGAGACATCCATTTGATCCGCTCGAGTCAGCTGACTGCGTTGACATCATTCAAGAGAGTCAGGGACAGGGAAGTATTTTCAATCAATGAATCATGGCTGGAATTTGGATCAGCTAACTGTCATGGTTTCATGAGATCCTGACCCGGCTTGGTCTGTTTCAGAGGTCAGCAGCAGAGAAGTGCCGTATCTAAACAGGGGTTGACCCACTAGATAGTGAATGCCATCGTGCTTGCATACCATACTCAAAGCGAGCTGTGTCTCCCAAGGATGAGAGCACACTCTACTAAAGGCTTTGGCCTCCTCCCGGGCGTTACCACTTGGTGCCTCTCTTACAGAACTGCGGGTAACACCAGTCATTCACGAGAAAGCTAAGCTTGGAGTCAAAAATGCTTGCTGCGCCATGCTCCCTAACCCAGAGCTACGAGTAAATTATACTGCTTTGCAAGCTTGAGTTCCCCGATGGTGATTCCTAGAGAGTTCAACTCAACATAAATGACTCAGTATGTTATAAACCTTTATAAACTCAACTATAATATTTATAAGCTCAACATAAACATTACATACATAATGAGGGTTACAAATGACGTTTTTAGTTTTACTGAATATAGAATAATATAGGCCTTTATGTTGATATAGGCATTTACATAATTAAAAATTACATATGGCACTGTGGATTACTGCAGTATTAGTTTATCAATGTCTGCAATTTAGAGAAAATAAGAAAAAGTAATTGCATTTAGCATTTTTGTTTTTAATTAAATACCATTTCTGCCCCTTACCAACCTATAATGGTACATTAAACATTGGGAGTGCTGAAAAAGCAAAGGATGGAGAGGGAAAAAGGTAGAATAGATTTTTTTTTCTATTCATCATAGATGTACCTTTGTTGAAAACAAAAGCACTATAATGTTGGATTAAAGAGGAGCCTTATCACACTAAATCTAAGTATCTAATATATGTATATATCAAAAAAGAAAGTATTTAAAGAATGGATATGTGATGGGGCTGATGGATTTAAAACATTATTTTGGGCACTCTACTAACCAACAAAAAAAAAGGAAAAAATGCACTATGTGAAGAAAATAGCAAGAGGAATGTTGTTTCCATTTGTATTTGACTTTTGTATTTAACTGAAAAATCTCTAAGGTGTCTATAGCCCATTCACCATACATTATGTTTTATCTTTTCATTCAGTTGAAGCAGAAACCTGTAAAATGACCACTATGGTTTGACAAATGTCCACAATTACATACCTGACCCCAGACTGGAGTTTAAAAAATAATCTGTTTTGTAATTCTATAAAATGTACAAACATAACTCTAAAAAGTTGTTTGTGGCCGATTATGGCTGGAATAAAAATTGTCATGCGAATGAGAATACAGGTCCCAAAAATAAACAAGGACTTTTGTATTAACTAGCAATGGACTACTAGGTTGAGAGTAGGAGCAAGATTTATAAACAAAATCAATTATTCCTTCTAAAAACTACATCTCAGAAAAAATGAAAAAGCTACCTCATCAAATCAGTTTAAAGCTTTGCTAGGAAATTTTAATTTTATATATCAGCAGAGCCAAAATCATCTATATTTATACTCAAAATAAAAATGCATTTATTGCACCATAAAACTTTACTCTTGCCATTTCAGTTCTATCAATGTTGTTTAGAACTTTAAGAATACTCTGTCAGTAGAACATTATTATTTCAACAATTTATACATCTTATAATATGCCACAGGGTCTATATGCTAGAGTTCTTTAAGGACACAAATAATAAAATGTATGGTGTGGAGATTACAATCCAGCACCTTGTTGTTTTACATTTGAAATTTCTGTATAATATAATGTTCTCATTGTTTTTTTGTTATATAATGTGTGGAGAAAAAATATAGTGATCTGTAAATGTAAAAATAAAAAATGAAATGACTTTTTTTTTTTTGCATTGCATAGTGTTGACAGACTTTCTACTTTCAAGATTTACCAACTTTTTTCAGTCATGTTGAGCAACTCTATATTGTGTAGAGCATTTAATTATAAAGTAGTTTGGTTTCATGCAAAGAAGACAACATGTTCATCATTATTTCTGTCATTTTTGTACAATAAATACTTTATTTAGTTTACAAAATGTCCCCCCTCTTCTTTATATACAATAGAATTACTTATAATGCTTCTGACAAGCCAGGAATCGACATCCTGTGGATTATGTTAACTAACAGAAGGAACACTTAAAAGTAAAACTACTGGGCCTTTCATTTAAAGTACATTTCCACATTGCATTGGTAAAATTGCTGTTTATTTATATACAAATTTAAACATATAATCATGTTATATTCAAAAGCAGTGTGTTTTTATGGTTGATAAAATGACAATGACAAAATGTAACATTATTTTACCATATTTTGTCACACTAAAGTAAAAATTAATTAAATAAATAAAACAATACTAAAAACAGTATTTCATAAACAGAAAACTTTAGCCATCACATGTGGATTGTCATGTCTTTTTAGTGTGACAAACAGTGAGTGCAACTTTGTCTTGCTCTATTTACACAAAAATCAATGTCTGCAATATGGAGGATATACAGTCTGTAGACCTCTGGTACATGATTGTCTCGAGGCACTAGGCTGGGGAAGGTTACTGAAAAATTTCTGCTGCTCCAAAAGTTCTAATGAGCACAGTGGCCTCCATCATCCGTAAGTGGAAGATGTATGCAACCACCAGGACTCTTCTAAGAGCTGACCGGCCATCTAAGCTGAGTGATCGGGGAAAAAGGGCCTTAGTCATTGAGGTGATCAATAAACCCGATGGTCATGCTGTCTGAGCTCCAGCGTTCTTCTGTGGAGAGAGAAGAATCTTACAGAAGGACAATCATCTGCAGCAATCCACCAATCAGGCCTGTATGGTTGAGTGGCCAGATGGATCCCACTCCCCGCCTGGAATTTGCCAAAAGGCATCTGAAGAACTCTCAGACCATATGTAACATAATTCTCTGGTCTAATGAGACGAGTGAATGCTAATTGAAGTGAATGCCAGGCATTACGTTTGGAGAAAACCAGCCACCGCTCATCACCAGGCTAATATTATCCCTAGTGTGAAGCATGGGGGTGGCAGCTTCAAGTTGTGGAGATGTTTTTCAGCAGCAGGAACTGGAAGACTGGTCAGGATGGAGGGAAAGATTAATGCAGCATTGTACAGAAACATGCTGAATGAAAACCTGCTTCAGAGTGCTCTGACCTCAGACTGGGGCAATGGTTCATCTTTCAGCAGGACAATGACCCAAAGCACACTGCCAAAAAAGCAATGAAGTGGCTTCACAACAATTCGGTGAATGTCCTTGAGTGACCCAGCCAGAGCCCAGACATAAATTCTATTGAATATCCCTGGAAAGATTTGAAAATGGCAGTAATGCAAAGAGGAATGGGCAAAAATCTCCATAGAGAGGTGTGCCAAGCTCATGGCATCATATTCAAAAAGACTTGAGGCTGTACTTGCTGCCAAAGGTGCATCAACAAAGGCTGTGAAAACTTGGGATTTAGTATGGCATTGAATATGTGTATAGCAATAGTATTTAGCAATAGTATTTAGTCGTGCCGGTATAGATCTGCTAAACTTCTGCTGTTTTGATTAATATGGCAGAGCAAGTACCAAGACCAGTATATACACAGACATGCCATCTGAGAATATAACATGCTGCTGCAAACATAATATACATGTAACCCCCCAAAACAAGCAGAGAACTTGAAGACAAACAAACCAATTGTACACTGTTAAAAATTGTCCCGTTAAATAACAGTAAAATACTGGCAGCTGCAGTTGCCAGCAATGTACTGTTATTTTACAGTATGTTGCTGTAAAAATACATGGACTACATTGATTTACACAATACTCAAGTGAACTCATTTTGCTCACTGAAAGCAACTGCCTCAACTTGGTCAACTGCTGAATGAGTTTATGAAGTAATGTGCTATATATGCTTAGAAGCATACTTATAATGATAACTTATTTTAGTTAATTAGAAAAGTTCGGTTTAACTCTAATGTCTTATTTTTCACAACAGCACACATACATGTAAATCTGGAATCACCAGAGAGATTCTGACTGCATCAGCAACTAAACAGCCGCTATCTTTAAATAGAGAAACATGCAGAATAACATCAGCAGTTCATTGTTCATCTTTAACTCATTCACTGGCTCTACTCTCCTCCACAACGGTGACAGACAGAAGAAATTAGCTTCAGGTTTTACAGTAAAATACTGTTTTTTCCTTGATTTAACAGTAATCTACTGGCAGCTGTGGTTGCCAGCAATATACTGTTTTTTAACAGTCTACTTCCGTTGTGTAAATTAACAGTATATTACTGTTAAAATACATTTTTACACTGTGTTTTTACCTCTCACACCTTTAACCCTTTAAACCCCAGAGCATATACTTCAGTTTTAATTGAAGTGTCCACACTACTGAGTGTTCAAGAAACATGTAGCAAAGCTGAAGTAAATTCATTAATTAACTGACTAATTAAATGATAATTGAGGATTAACAATGAACAAATGAAGAAATACTGAAGGGAAAAAACAAGAACAGAACATACAAAACTTTAGTCACAGCTTTATAATGAAATAACCTGAAGAACAACAAATGATTAAATCATTTAAATGATCAGCGGATGATTAAACAACTCTACAAACATCATCACCAGCTACACTTATTACTTAATACATGTATTTTTGTATAACATCTACTAAAGTTCTTCTTGAGAGAAAGGTTAACGTTTTACGTCACCATCATGGAGAACAGAGTTTGCTTTAGTTGGGCTCTTAGCCCTGCCATTTTTAACATTTATATATCTTGGCTGCTGCAATTGTTAAGAACTTTGTTTAAAAAGCTCTTTTGATGTGGCAAGCCAGCCAAAAACCTAAATCTGAAAAAATAAGATCTGGTGATGTTCAAGTTGCTATTAAATGGCAGAGTTTGTTCTCATTTAGTATAATAAAATTTACTGCTCCTGTTCAATGTTAAATCTATTGTTTTACATTATATGTGTGTATATATATATATATATATATGGCAATGATTTCTGGAAGTTTTTAAGAATATCTTGGACAATAACACTGCTCTATGGTATAAATCGCACTCAAAGAGACATCAATAATCAGCACATGAACCTCAATAATGGTGACAACAAATTTAACAAAATTTAACAAAATTAACAGTTTAACTCACAAAACAGGCAACTGAAAGTCGAAACATAAACAAAAGCAGAATCAAACACAAATAAAGAAAACCGTTATACAACATTTATTTATACCGCAATGCATGCTGGGATATTTGTACAGTGCCACTCCCAGCATGCATTGCAGCATGAAACATTTGAGATGTTACCATTGTTGAGATACAAGGTCAGATTCATGAGGTCTGAGTGTGTATATGTCATAGCTGAACTGTTTTTGTATATTATTTCTTAACTGTTAAGTAATTATGGAGGTATGTTTTCTGTTTCCACTTCTCATTAATTAAATACCTGCAACTAAGCATAAAATCTATTGCATGAGGCCCTTCATCCAGATTTATACCAAAACATTTATCAGAAATAATTTCAGATAAAGAGATTTCTCTATTTATTGACTTCCCAACTTTAGTGCTATGGTACAAACGTTTTGTAAATGCTGTATTACAGCAGTTGCAAAGTCTTCTTAAATGAGTTCAAGGGTGAAGAGCCCAACTAAACCAGCCCCTCACTCCATTACGGTGACACAAAAAACACCTTAATTTCTGTTGGATCTCAATGTGAATTGTATGGACGTCAAATCAAGCAGTAATAAGTGTGTCTGCTGTTGTTTGTGGAGTTGTTTAATGATCCTCTGCTGAGACTGAAGCTGTTTTATTTTATTTGATTTTATTTAATGTTGTAACTCAAGTCACTGTTTGTGTTTCTTGTTTATTTTCTTCAGTAATTGTGATTATTAACAGGTGCAGGTGTTCATCAGTGTCTGAATTCACTCATTAGTGTTCATTAAAACTGTCAGGTGAACTATATTAGTTAACTAGTGTATGAAATAGTGAACAAGGACACAAAGCGTGATTTCAAACACAGACTTCAAAACATCGAATCTGAACTCTGTTAGCTCACAGTTTTCTGCAGTTGGTTACTTTCTCGAAAACAAAAATGTTACCCAGAAAGCATTGTTTTTAACAGAATATTACTGTTTTAGTGAAAAAACATTATTTTACCGTAGAATCTGACCGTTTTTTAACAGCAATTTTTTACAGTGTAACTGATTGTGTATAAACAAACATGGCATAAGCAATATGCATAAACATGAGTAGAAAAGATTGCAAATGAGATGACAGCCTGCAAAACAACCAGATATATCGCCAAGTAGAGGTTTGAACCTACGCTGGTCTCACGGTTTGGTTCAGTTACGATTATCATGCCATCAATTCGGTTTAATTTGATATCTCGGTGCATCGACGATGCTTTACATACACAGTTTTATATTTCTTTGCAGCACAAAAATTCTGAAGGAGTAATAAAACAGGCCAATGAAATGCCAATGAGTTGTTGGCATCAATGTGCACAGCTGGCAGCATTTACAATCAGTATTGTATAAAGGTGCCTGCTGTGCATCACAGAGTCACCTTTTCTAATTGAAGAGCCTGAACAGTTGTCAGCTAAGGAGCAATTGCTGTCACTAAGGAACAACGAAATGCTGGCACACTTTGCTGACCAAAAATGTGACCAGCACAGCTGTCTATCTGGACAGAAATCTTAAAGATACTGAGTCAAGATGATCAAGCAGACCTCTCCAAAGAGAGATCTCCAAGTAGGTAAGAGAGAGGGACAGTATAATTAATTATCCAGTATCTCGCGCCTCTGGAAATGATAAGACAATGGTTACTCAGTATGCCGCCATCCCTGCGTCCTCAGAGCATGGATGGTCATAACGCCAACCTCTAAGGCGGAGGGGACAGCCTTAGCTCCAGCCAGCTGAATGAGGATAGCATCATACTGATCCGTCTTGTTCAGGAAGCTTCTCGGAGAGAAGTACTCCACACAGTGAATAGACTCCACAGGGGCGAATTCGCTCTTTTTTTGGTTGACCTGAAACCCTAACAGGTTGA